CATTAATGTGTCACGAGACAAACCAGGCATACTTTTCCTGTACTCAAACATAATTTCGTAGTACTGAGGCTTGGAACGGACCAAAAGTCCATTGCCTGTCGCTTTGACTTGCGGCTTAAACCACTGCTGCTTGAGGTCATGTATCTAATATGAGGTGTAAATATTTTTTCAACAATGACACAATAGCGAGAAAAGAGGTTGTGAACGTGATGAGCCCACGGTAAAGGAGTCTCCTTTATTGGAGCGCAAACTTTTTTCGACGAGAGCAAGGGCCCCTGGTCTCATATCAACACTCATGAATGACACCCTGCTGTCGACAATAGCCTGAACGTTCAATGACGGGTCGCCGTGACGATTGAAGAACCCTCGTGCTGATGGGGACGCAAGATCTCAATCAATGTCCCATCAATTTCTCCTACCACTCCAGCCATTCCACTTGAGCTGGAGAACTCATTCTCAATTTGACGCCATTCCAGTGATGAGCGGGGAAGATGTATCTACTTAGACGCCATCGAGCTTATGGACGCCGAAAAGCAACTGACGACGTTTTGACACCACGACTTTGACATGCCAAACACTCCACCAACCTCTCGGTATCCACAAGTGGATCCCATGAAGTATAGATACACTGCAAACTTCTTTTCAAACGAATGTGCTTTAGTGTAGAGATCCAGGTTGTAGTCATGCATGTGAGCTCGAAGAATCTTGCAAATGTGGTGAAAGGTTTGTTGATTGCAACGCAAAGTGTTGAGGAACCATTGGTCGTACTTGTCGAAGTGAAGCATGCGTTGAAAATCCACTTCGTTAACTGTTAAAACATTGTACTTGTCTGCACTTGTATCCGAGAAATGGTTGCAACAAACACTCCAACAGCAGCAACAGCAGCAGCAAGAGCAGTCATTAAAGCAATCGAGTCTTCTTGTGCTGTTGCGTTGCCATCACGGCACGTGCGAGCTCCACAGCATCACACGGGCTAGGGCCAGGGCCAGCACCACCACCAGCAACACACGGGCCACCACAAGCAACACACGAACCACCACCAGCAGCACACGAACCACCACCAGCAACACACGGGCCACCACCAGCAACACACGGACCACCACCACGAGCACACGAACCACCATCAGCAACACACGGGCCACCGCCAGCAACACACGGGCCACCACCAACAACACACGGACCACCACCAGCAGCACACGAACCACCACCAGCAACACACGGGCCACCGCCAGCAACACACGAACCACCACCAGCAACACACGGGCCACCGCCAGCATTACACTGGCCAGCACCAGCATCACACGATGTGTTACCAAACGACTTCATTGCGTGCAGAGTTAAATGTCGAAATGAGTTCAGTGTTCCCTGGACACGATTATTGGCACGTGGTGTCTCACCGGATAAAAAGGCCGGATAATGTCGTGTTCAGTGTTGGGATTTCATTCAGTGTTTTTTCGCGAACACGGCCTAAGTACAGGTAATCCCTGTCTAAATGGAGGCAAAGTTTGACAGGTTCTTTATTGATTTTGAGAAGTAACTGTTTCATAGAGAATATGCCAATCTTCCGACAAACCATGTCAAACTCACACATTTATTTACGTCAATAACTCAAATCGACAAGAAGCGCGTGGATGGGGTGCCAACACGCAAGCGCTCTATCAAAGTAACAACTTCTTCAACATTATCTTCTACAATAAGAGTATGACGCCAACAGTTTTGAATAGTAGCTTCCGAATCCTGCTCCCAAGCTGCTTGGGCCAAAGGAAATCCTCGAGTTGCGGATATTTGACAGGATGACTCTTCTTCTTTGTTGGATTGGTTTGCACGGATTCAATGCGTGGGGGATGCTTAAGTGTGCGGGAAATAGTTTGTATAGATGGACGCGAGGTGAGCTTAAGCTCAACTTTGGCCCAAATTGACAAAGAAGTGAAAGTCATTGTTGGGTTGGCCAAGTGGTGCTCATAAATTACTCAACGTTACTAGGCGTTGAGGACAGTTCGTTTTTGTGAAGGCTTTTTCATCGAAGGCAGTCAATAGTTAAGTGACCACACGTTCAGGCCATTTCTTACTGTTAAGTTAATCTTGAATTCTTGAAATGCTTGACAGTGTCACACAAAAAATCTTTGTACAGTATTCCCCCGCAATAGGAGACCCACCATAAATTTATATCCCTAAAAAAACAGATAGTCCTGGAGCAGAATACAATATAAATTCAGAAAGGCATTTTGAAATTCAAAGCAAAGTTGAT